GGTTGAAGAGCTTAGGGGAGGTTAGGCCTCCCTGTCTAACTCCGCACTCCAACCTATATGGCTGCGAATAAGATTCGGACCATCGCACAACATTGACCTGGTTACGGTACCAATATTTGAAGATTCTGGTTGCTTCTTCAGGCAGTCCAGTATTTTTCAATTTCTGCCATAGGATATCGTAATTTACCAGGTCAAAAGCCTTACTAAGGTCGAGAAAACAGGCATATACAGGTGTACGCCTAACCGAATAGTACTTAACAGTCTGCTTCAGACATAATATGGCCGACTCAGTTGACAAACCTGGCCTGAAACCAAACTGATTATCATGTAAGGTTATATATTTATCAAGGTGGACGCTAAGCAAACTGTCAAGAACCTTCGCAACAACCGTGGCTAGTGAGATAGGCCTGTAATTGGATTTATCAGACACATCCCCCGTTCTGTTCTTCACAATTGGCACCACCACAGTTTTCATCAGCGCTGAAGGCAAGTACGAGTGCGCCATGCACAAGTTATAAAACATGGCAAGCACTCCGGGCAGATGAGGACCCGCATACCTTAGGTGTTCAATACTCAGACCGTCATGGCCAGGAGACTTGCCACGGGACATAGAGGCTATAGCATTATTGACATCCATTGCTGTAAATCGGATTCCAATCTCCTGACCACCCGTACTTTCATCTCTTCCAAGCTGTGATGGTCGCAACGGTGACGTCACCGTAAAATAAGAGAGAAAAGATAAGAAATAATACAAAAATCCTTGTATACTAGCGATACTTTAGTGTTGACTATTTACATACTAATAAAAATATAATAAATTTTAATGTAATAACGCAATAAGAATTTAATATATATTTTTTAAATCTTTCGTATTAATGTTAAATAACGCTATATTAATAGACAACGTCATTATACATAAATGTTATCTCACCGCATAAAGTTAACGTAAAGTGATTTCTTAATTACACAAATAAAATTAATTATAACGTGTCTAATAAAACTTAGTGTTGCCAGAGCCAATTTTTAAATTGCCGTAGCATAAAGAGGAAAATAAATGAGATAAAGACATCTTTTATTTTAAAAATAAAACTTACAGGGTATTGCAAAATACTCTGTAAGTTTTATTTATACGCCAAAACGTTTTGCATCATTCCGAATATGTTAAAAGTACTCAATAATGGAATCCTATAAATTGGCAGGATGTGATATGAATATCGCGTTGGTTTTACTTTTAGACCGGATCTTATTTTAAATCAGTCCTTTAAATTCATAAATACCTTATAAAAGACATGCAAAAATGTGGCCTTCTCTTTAAAATCTGCTACAGCAATGAAGATGCCGCCGTAGGCCATACATTTATAAAAACATTTTGTTTTATTACTTTAGAACTCTGCAATTGTCATAGCAATGCCAGCTCTGAATGAAACATTACTACTTTAAATAATATACTAAGGATAAACTCTCGAATTACAATAATAATGGTAGTATTCTTCGATCAACAATACCAACTAGATAACGGGTCACGTACAAAATCATAGCTAAATACTGTCCGCATGAATATAAACTATGAAAAGACATAAATTAAATAACATTTAGTGTGAAATCAACCTAAAGTTATAACAAATAATAATATGCAAGAGCTCACGTCTCCTGTGCGCTCTTATTTACTGAGATGGATTTCTTGCGCCGACCCGACATCTAGTTGGTATTGTTGTACGAAGATAGTAGTTCTCGATAAATTAATTTGATTACACTAATACTGACAATAACCGGTAAGGTTAACGTTTTAATTGTTAATCGAGGATAGTACGTAGGCAATTATAGGCCACTTACCACCATGAGGTGTACTGTGTGCTAATGTGCTTGTTTGTCACCCCACCTTTTATTGAGAAAAGGAAAACTATTTATTATAAGAATAAAAATACGCACCGGAAGCCTTTAATTCCCAGAACAATTAATTACATTAAAAATGATATTTGCCATAGTTGGCACGCTTGGTAAGCGGATTTGCAACCGCAATTTTTTTATTTATTTTGACTTGTTATCAGGAAGATGCTGCTGCCATCTCCTGCTTCAGTTGCCTTCTGCCGCCTCTTAGGACACCCGCGGGACGATATGGGGTAGTGGATATTCTTACACCGCCACTACACGCTTGCCACGCGTGGCAACTATGGCAAATATCCTCCCTATGAGGCAATATTTATTACAATTACAAAATTCAGTAGTAGATTTTATTAAACTGTAACGGTAACGGTAAAGTAACGAAACACTAACTATAATAAAAAAATAAAACTAAAATCCAGCCGCACAGTTTCACCATCGCAAATCGCGACAAACCTCGCGATACCATCCATACCATCTGGATGATTGACGATCCATCACTAAGCGATTTAAAAGAAGTTTTCTTCCTCACACAACTTCCTTGTGGAATCAACTACCACCAGAGACTTTTCCGGACCGATACAACTCAGGGACCTTCAAGAAAAGAGCTTACTCTTTTTTAAAAGGCCAGCATCGCACCTGCAATCCCCCCTGGTGTTGCAACTGTTCATGGGTGGCGGTAGTCACTTACCATCAGGTGAGCCGCAGGCTCGTTTGCCCCTATCCTATAAAAAAAATTCGTATCTGATAAAAAATCAAAGTAATATTTCATGAACTAGCACAGAACAATATCAAAGTACTTACAAAAAAGATAGGTTCTCAATATAAAGAAATAAAATTAAACTAAAAAAAGAAACAGAAGCCGACTTCAAAGTACCAACATAGGTCGTAATAAGTAGCTATTATGTGCGAATCATTTTATTTCTTTTAGTTTATAGGCGACTTTTAATTAAACCTTTTTTTTTTTGTTGACCCTTTTAAGTGAACTATGCAATATCACAAGCTCAAGGTAACAGCTAGAATCCCGTTTAAATAGTTACATTCAAACTTCATCCCCTTTTTTCCTCCATAGGGGTTGAATTGGTTCTCCAATTTTTTATGAGACCAATAAAAATATATAAAAAAATCACTAAAGTCGTTTTGACAAATCGTGTGACGTACAAGAAATAACATACAGTAAAATTTAGAACCTCCTTTTGAAGTTAACTTTAAATTAATAAATTTTGTAATAATGTTCCGTTTAGTTCTTACTCAAAAGACGAACAATAAATAACAGTTGCTTAGTAAATTTACCAGTGACAATTAATTATTTCTTAATTTACTTTAAAACAACTTTGATGTTATAGCTTTTCTACGTAGGGCGGCGGCCGACGGTATAATCTCCCTTTGTCCGCCTTTGTTGTCCCTGACAACTTTTGTTGATGGAAAGTAATAACTTGTAATTATTTAATACTGGGTAAATTTTATTTGAGGCGTCATTTAGATTTTAAAAAAATATCAATGAACACTTATTTTATCACTGTTTCAAGCCTGGATCACTAGATCACTACTGGCATTATCTGTTCGTAAAATTCCATCATAATTGATTCTACTAGCCTGGACAGACACAGATAAAAGCGTACACGTTTGAGCGCTTGTTTGTAAAAAAAAAACTGTTAAAAAAGTTACACAATGCGCCCCCAATGATATTTCTTTAAATAATAATATCCGTTACTATGACAGATCCGGACAAGCTGTACAATATACAAATGGCGCAGGTGTAATTCCAGACATCTGCCATAAAAAAACAAATAAACATGCGGGCGATATGACGATCGGCAGCCCGCTGTTAACATAGGTAACAAAGTGATGGAATTTTAATTACATTCAAACAGAATTTCGCACATGTAGACACAAAGGAATAAGGGTTTCTTCAACGAGGAACGCTTCGGGTAATGTAAACTGGACAGTTGGGTAGGTTACAGCCCTTTTACCTATTTGCCGCTAATAGCAGTGCCTGCAATGTTGTATATATATTTTTTATAGAAAAAGGGTGACAAACGAGCACACAGTCCACTTGATGGTAAGTGGATGCTGTGGCCCATAGACATCTACATTTATCCTCGATTAAGAATCAATACTCAGATGCGTTGTCACCCCTGAGGACTAAGATGGAATGCCTCGTTTTCAGTAGAAAAGGGTCTCCAGATATCTAAACGCACCATACGAAGCACAGTAGTAGTATTAAGCTGCTTATTTACGCTGGTATTCTGTGAGGGCATGGTCTTCGCCGGTTGAGCCGACCCATTCGTGCTATAACCATAATGTAGCTGTAGCGTGGCATCCCATTTGTTTTGTGCCCACTCGTTGTACCACGAAGTTCACAGAATTGGTGAAATAGCGACCTAATACTGCTGCGTTTAGTGTGGTCAGTGTAGAGAATTGGAGACACTTTTCAATGAAAACGAGGCATTCCATCCTTATCCTCAGGAATGACAACGCATCTGTATTTTGATTCTGAATCGAGGATAGATTTATGTAACTATGAGTCAGCATCCATTTAGCATCAGGTGGACTGTGTGCTCATTTGCCACTCTTACTCAGGCTTAGTTTCTAATCTCACCTCTCCACCTTTTATGGAATTTTTGACAATGGCCACTCACCGTGAGATAAGGTTTAAAGAGTTCATTATCTCAAAAAAGAACAAAAATTTATTTATATGAGACTTAAAAATAACATAATTGGTAAAAATAATATATTTACATACGGTGACTTATATAAATGAAGTTACATAAATATATCCAAATTGGAATTAAATAAGCACTGTCTTTAGTGTTTGACAGTGTTTTTTTAATTTATCTTTAAATTTTGAAAACCATTTTTCATAAAATACCTCATTTGGTAGGCTATTGTACAATAGTGCTCTCTCAAACTGAATAGTTTTCGAACCACAGGTTTTAGTCCTAGCTTTTGGTAATTGCAGTTTATGTTTGGAGATGGACTGCAATTTACAATTAAACTTAAAAAAATTAAAGGACTATACAAACGTGTTCGCCAGGCCACATTCACATTAAACAAAAAAGTAGAAATGTATAATTAAGGGTATATAAAGAAAATATTATACAACCAATTCTACTCACCCTCTCATGGAACTTGCTCGAGTCATACGACCTCTCAGAACAGAGGTTGTATATTTTATAGTGGTCCTTGTGCATCTGCTCGAGGAACCTGTACACCTCGTCAATGTGATTCCTGTACACCCCTTCCAACTTCTCGGCGGGGAAGCCCATCGCTATGAGCCTATCAGTTATATCTGTATGTGGAAACTAAGGAAATTACCCATTGCAAAAATGTATACACGTTAAAAATATTTACGTCAGTCAATACTTACGTCACTCTGTAATTCAATTACTCTGTGTAGTCATGGTAAATAATGATAATCGCAAATGCTACTGAATTATTGAAAGCCCTAGAAAAGATCACTGGGTATTGATTTTTTAATTTACCATTACAGCCTAACAAAAGTCTACCGTTGAATAAAGGCATCCCCCAAAGATAGGTTTATAGGTGATAGATTTGTATATACAATTTGTTATTTTTATTCAGTTGTTATCAGGACGACACTACTCGTTCGGTTTGCCACTATCGTTTCTTAAGACACCCACGGGATAATATGGGGTAGTGGATATTCAAATAAATTAAAATAAGAGTAATGTTTTCATCTTAGTCTTCAGGGGTGACAACATATTCACATTATGATTACTAATCAAAGACAGATATATAGATCTTTATCTGTTTTTGATTAATGTCTGGTGGGGCCATATTACCATCCATACATATACCATCACGTGGACTGTGTGCTCGCTTATCACCTTTATTCCCTTAAAAAAAATACGAACTCGAAGTCTACGATAAAACCGACACTGAAAAACAAGTGTGAAACATATATTTTTATCTGCTTATGAAAAATAGTTTAATTATTAAAAGATTTTAAGACACCAACATCGATACAGGAAATCTACGCATACAGCGGAACAATGCCGCCGAAAATACGGCGCAATATTTTTATAGCGATTTCTCATATGATTTTTTTATTATTATTTTAATTTACATCGAAAAATAATGATAGAAATACAAAATCTGACTTCCCCCAAGTTTAAAAAAAATTAAACAAAGATTATATAAAAAGTGTTACTATAACATTAAGGAATTTATGGATGATAATACCCCATGGGCATGAGGTGATTGCTACCGAGCAATTCTAAATTATATATTATTATATATATTATATATTATTATTATTTTGGGTTATTGATAGAGTAAACACATCTGGTTGGGCTGGTTAAATACATTTATTATTATTATTATTATTATATTATTAAGTAACTTTAATGATTGTAAACTGTTCTTTTTTTAAAAATCCCAGTCCTTGGGTTTCTTGCTAGATCATCCCAGGACAGAAATATTTTCCGAACCAGTGGTAAGTTAAACATAATAGTGACTTGAAGAACGTGTGAAGCTTGTATTCTATTTTATTATAGAAAACTCGAAACCATTGACGGCTTTTGAAATGGAATAATTACAAAATGGTTCCTCTACCAGACATAAAATATTTAAACAGTTGACTGGGGATGGCAACTTGTACGCATTGCAATCGTCAATCCCCCGTTATAGTTGCGATTACAGCAAACCCTCCCTCATATTACAACTAGTTTCTTAAATGAGTGTTAAGACGTTCTGACATTATACTTAACACGGGGTACCTTCCGCCTTTTAATCATGAGATCATGAGAGCTTTTAATAATTGATGTTAAGATTTTTGCAAAAACAACTTAATCTTGTAGTATTCTTGTGGTAAGCTTGGTAAAGATTTAATTTTATTGAACAATGGATCGGTGCAGATGGTAGTATTCAACACCAATCTAAAATATTAGCCAGAGAATGGTGCAACCAGGCACCACGATCAAGGGTGCTGCAAAGCATCCACGTATATTAACTTATTAACATTTATAGTAAAAAATAAAATATTTTTATTTGATTTGTACTATGTACTCGCGGAAATATCAAAGAATCATTACGTAATCAAGTTTCAAATTTATACACCTACCTACTTCATAATTAATTGATTTCTTGGTCTAAGTGGTGACTGTTTCTCAGACTGCATCTTAATCTTCCTGCGATCTAACTCCATTAAATGCAGGAAGATGATGTAAGCGGTATAATCTATACGCTACTTTGCTTTTTTTTACTGACCCATGTGATTATCAGTATACGTATAATATGAGCATATTATTACAAAATAGTAGTAGACAAATGAACACATCATTAACATTTCATTTTAGAAAAGGTATACAGTCTAACCAATTAATTTTATGATAACATCTCGTTAATATTTAACATGCGATAAATTTATTTCAAGTTGTTGCTTAAGTTTTTTTTTTACCTTTTCCTTTTATCTCCGAGATTGCATCGACTATTTTATCGAAAAAAAACTTTTATAATAATCATATAATATATATTTTAAACACATCCCATACTAAAAACAGATCTTTTTTAATTACCCTGTGATGCATAATTTCCTTAAGGTTCCTTGCATATAGAACAAGCCAATTTTTGTGTAGCCAATAATTACACGAAAAATGGCTAAAAATAGCTATAATTTCATAACACAAAGGCCTGCTGATATAAATGACCCCTTAGTAACCGAATCACGTAAAGATGCTATCGAAAAACTAATTAAAGAAGCCTTTAAAAATTAATAAATGTTAAAAGATGGAGATTGTATCTACTGAAAGATTGATACAATCATGTTAAGCAATTTATACACGTCCAGATACGATAAGTAATAACCGAGCCAAGTGTAAAACTTGTACACATTTATAATAGTTCCGAAGCTTGTTATAAAAATTGAAACTAATTTATCAAATTATTTACTTAAATAATATTAAACGTCACTATTAAAATATAGCCAGTTTAGCCGAGTATCGAATATACATAAATTATATGAATAGTACCCGGTTGACCGAGCTGTGCTCGGTATTTTTCGCTCGGTTTTTTTTAATTCGTGTGTTTTGGAAATCATATTTAGATACAAATTACATGCTGATGAAATACGAATAATATTTTTTGATCGTAGCGACATAATAGAAAAAACTGAACTGGTTATTTGAATAAAAATCATGTGTGCAATTAGTTTAATTTAAATTTTCCTGTTTTTAAAAAATACTAAAAAATGGCCACGAAAAAATAGATTTTCTCAAAAAAGAAAGGAACTTGAAAAAAATATTAAAAAAGGTCGGTCGGTCGGTCTGGGCTCGAACCATGGTATTACGATTTTGTGACCGCCCAATATACCAATAAAGCTATTTGTAATCATTAATAAACTGTCAAAATTTACCTTATTATTCTAACGATATTGTAGCAGTTTTTCATTGCCTAAAAACACGGACAAAAAGACATTTTCTAAAAATAAATCCTAGCTAGATCGATTTATTGCCTCCGAAACTGCCTGCACACAAAATTTTATGAAAATCGTTGGAGCCGTTTCCGAGATTCCGATTATATATATATATATATATATATAACATACAAGAATTGCTCGTTTAAAGGTATAGGATATAATTGAGATGACATTAGTAGGATATCTGGCCTTTTTTATAGAAGAGGGGGCAAACGAGCATACGGCTCACCTGTTTTAAGATATACAAAAAATATTCTAGATAATACTATTAATATTTATTTTACATCTTTTCAAAATATGCTCCATCATGCTCTATACAAAGTTCCATTCGCCGAAACCAACGCTGTAAACACTTTTGCCAGTCTCGATCTGACAGGTCGGACATCGCTTCTTCGTAGGCAGCCACGGCTTCTTCGGCGCTTGAAAAAAACTTGCCTTTTATTTTTCTTTAACTCTTGGTAAGTCACGGTGGAGCTAAGTCACGGTTGTAGGGTGGGTGGGTGACTTAGAGTTTCAACACCAGATTCCTCAATAAATGCTTTTGTTCTAAGGGAGGTATGTGAAGAGGCGTTATCGTGATGCAGCGTGATTCCCCGAAGCCCGGTCTTTGGTCTTTTCTCCCGCACAGCTTGAAAAGCTTTGGGTAATGCAACTGTAGTATAACATTCAGAGTTGACAACAAAATGTCCGCTCCACGAAAAAAACTAGCCACCATTTTTTGCCGACGTTGTGAGGTCTTTGCAGTTTTGTCGGTAACTGTTCTTCTGAGTAGACCCATACCGATGTTTGCCTTTTATTTTCCGGATCATATTGATTCACCAGTAACGATTTATTTCTAAGACACGCCTAGATGACCCGTTTTCAAACGTAGACGCATTTCATGGCACCAATCCACACGAGTCTATTTTTCGTTTTCGGAGAGCAAACGAGGGATCCATCGACAACAAAGCTTCCTCACTCCGAGATGTTGATGTAGGATGGTATGAATGCTCCCCGAATTAATGCCTACAATCTTTTCGATGTCCATATAAGTGATTCGTGGGTCTTCTCGCACAAATATTTCAGTAGTCCATACATTTTCTGCCATTACTGCTGTTTGCGGGGCCCCGGTTCTTTGGTCGTCTTTAAGGTAATTTTACCCCTATTTGAATTCAGCAAAGCACCTAAAAATTGATGCGCGTGATGAAGCTGAGTCCCCTTATGCTGATTGTAACCGTTGTAAACTTAATTGTACGGTTAAACCAAATTTAAAATCATGATAGATCATAGCGCGTAAATGTTCACTGTTAAGATCCATCGTTTCAAATCAGGAGCGCGGGAAGCGTTGCAGGAAAATTAATAGAACTTTGTATTTTTTTAATATTTAACAATTGGCTTGTGAAGTTCTATTTTTAAATAAATTTGCTTTTTTGAAACATATAACACGGGTGCGTTCCATTTTTAAATTGCGAGCATTTCAAAACTTATTGATACAAGTACGCTTGACTGGCTATAATATACAAAATGTCAGTGTCGATTTTTCGTACCGGGAAATAAAATTGACATAATAATGCCAAAATATGTTGTCTTATTTAAATCTTATCGCTGTAATTTGAATTTTTTTACACTAAAAAACAAAAGCATTTTAAATGGTTGATTGTTTATAACTTTAGTTACATAATAAGAATTATTGCGTGCCTTAAGCGCAAAGCGCGTAGGTTTGTTCTACAAGCGCTATCAAGAATCCAACGTTATGTCGCATGAAATCGTATCTAACAATCATATTAAATAAATAAATAGATGGATAAATGATAATATATAGGTAAATGTTCCCACTCCGGACACCTCCGTTTTTAATTTTAGCCAATTTAACA